CCCCAAAACCCCAAAACCCCAAAACCCCAAAACCCCTTCCAGCATGATTACATTGAATTAGAGGCTCACAAGTCTAATATTTAAAAGCCTTCTAGTGGATATATGAGGTGGAAGAAGATTTTAAGGATAAAATTTTATATCAGCCTAAACCAGGAAGCAAGTCCTCCTTCAAAAATTAGAATTTAAATGGTAAAACTCGAGAAATGTATTATCGAAAACAGACTGGATAGGGCAAGCTTTCTCGGTTATCGTAGCTACTCCTCCATGATTTTTGGAATGTCCATTGACGGGATAAGTGTGATAGGGAGAGATGGCACAACAATAGAGAGGTCTTCTTTCAGAGTCTTCTCACGGAAAACCATAACCTTCAAGCGAGACTTCAACTCCTGTTGGTGCCTGACTGACTGAATACTATGACCTAAATCTAATCTTTTCATATTATAGGATTCTCTTTTGGGGAGAGTTTTAGGAGAAGAGGACTTTCTAAAGTGATTCCTTTTCGAGCGAGACTCAGGGCTAGAACGGGTTCTGGCATTTCTGGCTCTTCCTTTCGCTCTTTTAGAACCATGAAATCTCTCCGAAGTCTTAGCAAATTTATAGCAAGAAGATTCACAAGAGTCAGTACTGAGATTAGATCTTACTCTTTTACGTAGAGGTTTAGGTAGCAATTGAGACTTAGGAATATTGTGAAGGCCGCTTATCGCTTGTCTAGCAAGGCCCAATTTAGGAGGAGACATCTCGACTTTATCTAATACTCTCATATCAGCAAATTTTGAGTCAGAACCCTGGCGAGTTGGAACAATTGTAGGTAAGGTCTTCCTATTTACCAGAGTATCCTGTCTCTGATTTAAACAGTCTATATATCTTTCTTGATTCTTTGAATTGAACTGAATTAGCGGGACCATTTGGCTCGTATTAGAAGTGAGCCTCTCAGATACATAATTTAGAGAAGGAACAGATTCATCAGGAGAATATCCAAGAGAGTAATTTTGGTCTCCTAATTGAGCAAAAGACCTGGATTGCAAGCTTCCTCTGTGCTCATAATTACCATAAGGAGTGGTTTCATTTCCATTATATGAATTTTCCACCCTTCTTTGAAAGTGTTGAGGAGGCATGCTCCCATTGGGTCGAAGACTAACTACAGGAGCAAATCAGTTCTGAGATCCATTAGAATAGAGATGGTGCATTTGAGTATTTTTGAAATTTGATGGAATGTCACAACCAGGGAACATTTTTCACGTTGTTATCACTCAATTTATTATATTCTAAAAGGGGTTTTGGGGTTTTGGGGTTTTGGGGTTTTGGGGTTTTGGGGTTTTGGGGTTTTGGGG